TATATATATATATATACACCCTAAAAATGAGCCATGTTCAGTGGCTAAACCCTTGCAAAGTGTATATACCTTACTGCAAAGATATCACAATGACTTATGAGCATGTAGCACATAAAACCTTGTATAAAATACAATTTCATGATAACAAAGAAATAAAAAATAGAAAATTATTAAAAAACAACCTCTTCCAAGAAAAACAAGCAAACAGACAACAGAGCTTTCTGAGCATCTGATGTACTGTTCTGGGCCCACATTATCACACAATATGCTAAAAGGTGCCTCTTAAAAAGTTTACAAATCTATTGACGTCCTGCATGTTGATGTGTTGCATGGGGATCCTCCAGAAAAATACATTTGTATCTACTGCACAACTGTCAAGCATCTAACATTGAACATAATGTTCACAATAATAAATGGACAAAAATATTTTTTAAACATAAGTGCAAGGAAAACACACAAAAGATGCACCGCTTCTCCGCAGCTCAGAAAAGGAATAGGCCGGGTGCTTGCCCGCTGGGAGCACTTCTTCACTCCAATATGAACCCATACAAACAGATCCCTATGACTAAGCCCGTGATTGTATGAAATGCGTCAGCGCGCGGGACACACACACACACACCTTTGGTGGGACACCAGTCATGTGTTACAACGTTCAATAAGCTATCCCAGCAGAATTAGGTTTTCTTCTGTTTATCAATGCAAAGTGATTGCAAACTTGGTCATTGTTGCAATATTGTATTGTGGGCGGTACCACTGACACTTCGAAAGAGCTGTCATCCCTGTTTATTCAGATATCTCAGGAGAGATTCCGTTTTCAGTTTTATATATGTATGTATGTGCAAGGTTTTACAGGCTGCACTTTATTCGTTATTGAGGTAAGGTATTTGTAAATTAAGCAAATACAGTTTTTCAACAGATTTATCATTGTGTGTGTAGCAATAGAAAGGGGGCACTTTTGTTATTCCCTTTATGCAAACTAATAAGAGTTTTCACTTAACTGACACAGACAGTGAAATCGGGAATTGTGTGATGAAATAATTTTCACTGAAATGACCCTGCTGATACCTATGTACTGTTGTACTGTAAAAACTTTATCATGTTCCTTTCTGAAAACGTTTATATCTCTTATTACTCCTGTCTTCAGTATTTGTGTTTTAACTGCTTGATGTTTGTTTTTGTTTCCCAGATATGATTGCTATCACTGATCCCAATCAGATCACTATTTTAGCCATTTCCGTTGCTGGTGGAATTATTCTTCTTATTTTCTTGGTCACCTGCTTCTTTGTCAGTGGAAGGTAAAATGTTTTCTTTTAAAAATTGTACAGTCTAACATGATCTCATGTCATCTCACATCATTCATTGCCCCTCTTAGGTAATGTAACTCAAGCACTAATGATTTTTTTCTTCAATTAAGAAATATTGACATTGGATTTTAATGGTGGCCAAATGGGACCTTTAAAGTTTTAGCTGACCCAATAGTAATGAACACTTTAAAAATCCAAAGCCTTGGTGTATAAGTCTAAATATATTTTAAACTATTGCTAGATCTAATAAAAGTGCTAGTCATGTTCAAATGGACATCATCTGTACTGTTAAAGACATTTCAACACACATCTAAGAAACTTTTTCAGCTACTTGGATGAGGGGTTAAACTTCTTCAACATTACAGGACAAGTACAGTGTGATTAGCTAAAACTAGTGATACCATTACCTTGATAAATAATAACCTTTACAGAATCTGTAAAGAAAAATAGAATGTGACTTTTAACATGTACATCCTTCATGTAGAAAAAAAGTAGTGGAATGAAAAATGAAATGAAACATTTGACTACTAGCTATACCATGAACCCTTTCAGACACCTAATAAAGGAAAATGGGATTTGTCTTTGAAATGTACATCAGTCATGTATAAAGTAATGGAGTTATAAAAGTGTAACAGAATTTGCAACTTGAGAAGAAAATTTAGGAATAGTACTAAAACTATTTTCTAGAAAACATACTACTGGCAGAGGTGATGGGCATAAGCCAGTGTGTACTTTACTGTACTTTAATCTCAGTCCTAGCAATCAGAGAGAAGCTAACATCCTGTACCCAATGTGTTGAAATGTTTTTCTGCACCCACCTGCTCCACTGCATAATGCTGATTGACAGCACAGCTTGCACAGACTAGACCAGGGGTAGCCAAACTCCGGCCCTCCAGCTGTGGTGAAACTACAAATCCCATGAGGCATCTCTCTCCGGAAGTCATGTCTGTGGCTGTGAGAATCTTGCAATGCCTCATGGGATTTATAGTTCCACCACAGCTGGAGGGCCGGAGTTTGGTTACCCCTGGACTAGACTATGGGGCAAGCCTAACTTCACCATGAGATTGGCACTTTCTCCATGTTCAGATTTGCCCAGGTATGATAAGCTGAGGAAGAGAAGTGACTACAGACACGTACTACGTATGGTTAGAATAGTCATGCATATATTGCTCTGGCTTTATATTGTATGGCCTGTGTGTTTCGCAGCATTCTTTTTAAAGAAATCTGCACTGTTTACACATCATGCATCCCAAGAGACTTCATGAAAGTCTAGTGCAAAATATACAGATCACAGGCATGCACAGTAGCATATGATCAAGGGGTCGGCTATGACTATCAGGACGTTTTCTGATGGGACGAGGTGAAGATTGCGATGTCATCATGCTTGGCTGAACCATATGAATGATATTTATATCTGATATCCAGAGGGCTACTGGTGATGCTGAGAATCACTGTAGAAGTCTGTGCTCCATATAGTAATAACCGTGATCTTCTGGGTGCGGCTCCAATAGGAGGACGGCTTGTATATGTTGAAAAAAATACAAGGCATTCTCTGAATGGTGGAGGTGGAATAGCACCCCGACGATTACGGCTATCACTGTATGTAGCATGGACTATTACAGAGATTCTCATCATTTCCAGTGGTCTGGGTATCAGATGTGGATACTTACTGGATCAATGTAAATTTCTAAAAAGGATCATTTTTGGAGTTCCACTTTAAGCTCAGATACATTGTAAAAGATATCAACTACTTCTTGTTCTCTAAAAAAAATTCTACATAACGGTAGTAACCTACAAAAAAGTGGAGTTGACTTTTTATGAAAATTTTAAGTCTTTATGAGAAATAATTACTTGTTTGAGCAGCATTTAGGAAAGTCTGTATGAGTGCCTTTAATTAGTTTATTGTTTTATTTGCTTTTTAATCAAATATATTATGATACAGACACATATATATTATTATTAATATTATATTTCATAATTAATAATTGAATTTGTTTGCATGAGTAACAGGCATATTTTAAATATTTTCTTATACTTGGCCCCATTTATAAAGTAAATGCAATCTATGATTTGTCAACCAGTCAGATTGAATTTTCCATTTGGGTAGCACAGTAAGCAGTATATAGGCTAACGTCTGATTGGCTGAAGTGGTTGTATTTTCCGTTACCTTTAGATTTTTTAATGACATGACCTCTGACTCAGTTCCCCTTGTTATTGTTCAGTTTCCTATTTCTTTGTCTCCTGGTATATCTAAGTCAAGGTAACCTTGCAGCATTTATTTATTTTCACTGATTGCATTATTGATTGGTGGGAGATGTATAATGATTGCTGCCTCTTGTTTAGGAAGATCTTTACTCTGTGTTCCCTCTAAGGCTTTGCTGCTATTTCAGCTCACGTAATGCAGATTGACCCATATTGCAGAGACCTTGTACCCTTATCAGTTAAACTCACAGGGTCGGGGTTAAATCTGCTATATGCTGCAACAACAGCGCACTGTAGCATTGTGGGAACTCATCAAGTCCAATTTCTCCATAAAAGCTTGCATATGCAAAGTGAACCTGTTATTTGTCCATGCAGTACAAAGAAACAGGTTCCCTTTATTTCCAGATCAGTCAGCATCTAATGATTGAGGTGTTCGGCTGTCATTGGGCTGTGTTGGTTTACTGGTGGCCCATTCATACCATGATGTTTAGTGAACACTATTGCACAGCACTGCATGTTGGTGTGTTGCATTGCCATTGATTCCTAATGGCACCTCCGATACACCTTTCATTGTATGCATGTGTGTTGCAACACCACGCAACCATTGGTACTGCAATAACAGTTGTTGTATGGTGAAAAAAGTAATGCATGCACTGCTTTTTTTCACAGCATAGCAGTGCAATGCATGTTATTGTGTTATTGCCTGCCGGTTGCTGCGTTTGATGTGCCATGGAAAATCAATGGCAATGGAATGCAACCAGTGCACCTAGTGTGCCGTACCGTACACTGTGCAATAATGTGCGCTAAATACATGGATCTCTAATGCTTAGTGGAACTCTGTGGTGTGAATGGGTCCTTAAGGAAGAATGGGCTACTTCCAGGCATACCTGCCCCCAATTTATTCATTGCTATACAGTAGGGTTGTTACTGATTAAAATTTTCGTGTTCGATCAATTGAAATTTTTTAAAATCGATAAATCGCTTAATTTCGATTAATTATAACGTACATACAGATCCAACTACATTGGCCTACACACATACAGCACAGCAATGAAGTAATAAAATGAACTAGGATCACACTAATGCAGCACGTTATTAATCTCAGGTGCCCCACTCAATATATGGCTGCCGCTTGAGTGGGGCAACTCATATTAATAACGTGCTGGAGTACTGTGATCCTAGCTCATTTTAATACTTTGTTGTTGTGGTGTATGTGTATAGGGCAATGCCTTGGCTGGCGCTCGTGCAGAATAACTTTCTTGGGCAAACCTCTTAGTTCCAAGTAAACCTGAAGTCATGCGATCAGAAAACTCCATAAGTTGGAACTTTTGATCGAACACCGCCCCAAGTGGCTCCGTCGGCTAATGAAGGGAAGGGGGAGGAGTCAGGTGACGCCACGGACATCGCCGTCACTGGACTCTTCCCCCTTCCCTTCGTTAGCCGACAGAGCCACTTGGGGAAGGGGGGAGGAGTCCGTTGACGTCAATGTCCGTGACGTCACCGGATCTCCGACAGAAGACCCGGAAGCCGGCGGAGAGGTGAGTGTTTTCATTATTGATCAAAATAATTTTAATCGATCAAAACTTTTAACGATTAATCGGGTAATTAATCGTTAATTTCCGCAGCCCTACTATACAGTATATGTCCCAGGGTAGGAGCTCTGTTACACAAGAGTTAAGGCCCACACTTCAAAGAAGGGCCTTGATGCAACTAAAACCACTGTTTTTAATGTAAATTGTTATAACATATGGCATTTTGAGGGGTTTTTTCTGACTAGCTGGAATGTGTGTTGTGACATCTTTGTATTGTGTTGTTAAGCTTCCAATTCTTGCTTTCTCTTCACTTATATGCTGCTTTGTTCAATGCTGGCAGCTAGGGGAAAAAAAGCCTTGAGTAATCTATAGTCATATAACCAGTTGGAGTTTACCCACAAGGACTGTCTCCTCACTCTCATGTGACAGTAATGGGCCAATCAAAAAACATTAGAGCTGTAACATGAGGAGATATGAGTGAGTCACATGACTATCTAGTACAGAAGTACTAGAGAGTTCTCTGAACTCCCAATGGTGAAAGGCATTCTGAGGAAGCAAAGCAAAGATGAGTAAATAGAGGGGGAAGCCAAGCATTAAATTAAACTGTTGGTTTGACTTGGGCACAGGGTCACTTTACATTAACCTGTTGCAATAGCTGATATCACAACTGCGGCTCCCAGTGATTGGTGTATTCTGGCATTCCCCAGAAGTGAGATGAGATCAAGTTGCACATCTCCGCAGCATAAAGCTGGCCATATTATTTGCAGATTTTCTATGGTCAGATGAAAAAAGTGCAACAGATTCCTCCATCTACGCTAAACTGTGTGGATGGAGGAATAGACCACTGGTCAAAGCTTCAGTATCTTGCTAGTCGGCCCCGCTGGCTCTCAAAATAACTGAACAATCTGTTTGGGTGCAGGCATTGTTCAGGTGTTTTGCCTGCACCCAAACAGATTGTTCAGTTATTTTGAGAGCCAGCTTCTTCTCTGGCCAAAGCAGCATGCGGAATGGCAGCCTGAAACTGGAAGTGACACAATCCCCATCACTTCTGCACTCAGTAACCAGAGGACTGCCGTGATCTTGGTATAAATCACTTTAGGACCAGGATTTATATATATATGGGGGTCCTAAAGTGGTTAACGTGTCTCGTGTCAGTCAAAAATGAAAAGAATCCTTAAGCTAGGTTTCAAATAAAATATGCATATTGCCAATATGTTCATTATTTTTGTGAAGTTTTTGCGAAGAATGTACCCGGTG